AATTAACATATGCCCTTCAAACCAATTAATGCATCTCTAAGCACAAGAAAACAAGTAATTACTTCTTTTTTGGTGGTCTAGCAATTAGAGGAAATGTCCGAGTCAATTTTCGCGCACCTCGATTAGTCTATCCACCGAGACGATCTTAGGGACGCCCTCTCTCACATCAGCCATTGCATTTCTTTTTTTTTTTTTGGTAAGAAAATAAGCAGTGCCCGAAATTACATCATTAATCTCCTAATAAGACATGATCTAATCAGATCCCCTAACAACAGAGGAATGAAACCTATTGGTGGCCATTGCATTTCTAAAATAACAAGGAAACCACCTCAATTGTTTCCCTAGTTATCATCTATACTAGAATACAATTTTAATAAGTTTCCATATTTATGACAAACATCATATTCCCTCTTCAAATCCCAAATGCTCTAAATGAGTATCCCTTTATTTTCTTTATGTGGGTTTCTTTTATTTACCTTTCCTTCTCCATTATCTACTTTTTTTTCCTCTTTTTCTTTAGTTTAAATTCATGCCAGTTCAATAGAATATTCCGATGCCAAAGAATCCACTCAGCACTTCTCATCACCTCCAACTTGGAGACAAGGACCAAGACTTACGCCTCCAGCTCATCTTAACTTGGGCAATCAATCCCTTCCTTGATTCTTAATTTAATCAAAACTTGCAATCATTTAGTGAAATTAAGAAAAAAAAATTGGAGGAGTGGACCTTGATGTACTCACTCCTCAGTCCCCACTCAGTCCTCAATGATTTCCCACTAAAAAAAAGGAAGGAAAATAAAGAGAAAGAGGGAACAAATCTTGGAGACTTCAAAGCAAAAAACGTGGGGTCAAAGAACCTTTTTTTTTCCCTACATGAACAAAATTGCAAGGAAGCAATAATGCTCCTTTGTCTCCTATCACCAATCTCGTTGCATCTTTGATAAAAAATGTGCTGCCTTGGGAAGGGGTAGTGGAAACATCCTCCTAGAAAGAGAACATCTCAACTTATCAAAGGAAAAAGGTTAAAGTTTATATTCTTTGTTACCTTTTACTTTTTAGAAATGTTCGTGTCACTCTAGGTTTCAAACCTTTATCACTAGATCAAGCATCCTCTATAACATTCGGGTTTGCTAAAAAATGCAAGTTCTCACACAGTTTCACATTTTGATTGGGAAATTTGTTCCAAAAATTCTAAACTTATTATATGGCCGTCAATTCAATTTAAAACCTTTCAATTATACCAATTTAGTTTTAAGTTTTTTGATGATTGCCAACGTAGTTTTTCCGGTCATTTTTTTGTTGGAAATTGATGATGTGGACGCCGACCGTCCTACGTGGCATGATAAATGCTGAGGGAGAATTGCCAAAAAGTCCTAAACCTATTGCAATCGTGCCAATTCAGTCATAAACCTTTTTTTTGCCAATTGAGTCCTAAATCTTTTGCATTTTTGTCAATTTAGTCCTAAATTTTTTTTATTTATCTTACTCGTCGGCCCTCGCTCTGGCCAGTTGCCGAGGTTCGGCGACTAGCTGGAGGTAGAAGGAAGGGAAGAAAAAAAAAAGAAAGAGAAGGAAAGAAAAGAAAAAAGGACAATATATAAGTAATTCGGAAAAAAATTATTAAAAAATTATTAAAGTTATTAACGTCAGCACCGATCGGCCAAAATTGACCGGATGTATTGAATTGGCATAAATGCAAAAAGTTTAGGACTCAATTGGCAAAAAAAAAGATTTATGTTTGAATTGACACAATTGTAATATGTTGATGATTATTTCTGCAAATTTTCCATATATACTTATGTGGAAAAAAAAAAGCGAAACGCACCCTTGTTCAGGTGATGTAGGGTGTGAGATCCAAACAATACACAAGCGGGTAAGGTAAATGGGAAAATTGTTTATTTAGGTGTTCGAATTTTCTTTGTTTTTGGGTGAATTTCATATGTAAAAATTTTAAAATCATGAACTTGTCAATTCAACGATGTCATTGTAGCCAATCACGGTTTGCCATCAAAGTTTATTTTATTGTGGGATGTCGACATAATTTGGTTTGGCCCATCCGGGGGCACAATCTAGACTTTCAACAGCCAATCTTTAGTCACGTTACATATAGTACCTTACCCTAGCTTCTTGTGGCAAGAATTTGGTCAATGACCCAAGTTTGATCTCATCGTGGATTGTGCAATATGCACATTCGTCGACGTTTCTTGGTTTTGACGATTTGACTGAAGGCTTCACTCGAATACCCCGTGAACGGTTAATCACTCTTTTGGAACGGAATAAAAAACTCTTAACAAATTACAATTTAGTGACAGGTGAAATCTAAGTGTAACCATTTGCTAAAAAACGAGTGGTTCAATATTTGATTTATAAGTAATGATTTTTTAGTCCATCTTTGATTTGAGGATATCTGTTAGGAAAATCTAATTCAAAAACTTAAATTTATTGGCCAAAGATCATGTGAGTATAAAGAGTACATGTGGGCCATTGTCAAGCGATATACACCCGCTCTCACGTGGAATTTGATTGATGGGGCTGGATGCATATACTTGAAAGGAAAGTCCAATCCAAAAGTTCAAATTGATAGGTAAAAGGAGACCATATGAATATAAAAAGCATAAAAGATCCGTTGTCAAATAATGTGAGATAATATTTCAACAATACTTACTTTGATAATTTATGAATTTGGGATTACGTATATTTTTGATATGAAGCTTCCCATTTGCGTTGGCTTGTCCAGTAATAGTGGCGCATGGAAAGATGTGTGGCCTTATTGAACATTTCGCAATGATTTAGGAGGTGTAGTGACATTCTCCATTATTTGATTAGATAAAAAGACTACGTTGAATATTCAGAAATAATTTAAGGGACACATCTAACGAATTAAAGGTTAAATGATGACAATGAACTTTAGATCAAAATTTAAAATTACTAGTGTTATTTTCCCTTTTTATTAACTCTAGACACTCTTTAGGGAAGCAAAAAATAAAACAAAAAAATGTAGGACTTACTAGTCTTCTTTTTCCAAAGCTTCACTCTTTCTTTTTACATTAGTCAAGTTTTGATTGGTAAGGAGGAAGAAAAAGTCAATCCTCTCCCTTTCTTTTTTCTTCTTTCCCTCCTTTTTCTCCTTCTTGCTTTCTCTATTTCATAACTTTTTTTTTTCATAAGGTCCCCTATATGCATATTCTTTTCCCCTTTTCCCCCTTTCCTCCTCCTTATCTCTTTCTCTATTCTCACTCATCCCATTTTCGCCGGAGCTTAAATCGGTCCTGGGCCGGGCCGACAACATTGCGGATCCGGGTTACTCGGCCATGCGATCAAGTTAAAAAATAATTATGACGAAATTAGAAATTTTTAAAATTTACTATCTCTTTTTCTAGCTAAATTTCCCAATCTCTCTCCATGGAGCAACAATACCTGATCATCTTTTAGATAAGTGTCAAGACTTGAGCTTACATTTGCGCATTACACAACTGTTAGCATCGAAGTATCTATCTTAGTTCTATTACCCACCACCTACTAGACAGTTATAATATGTATAAATAAAGAAAAAATAGTAAATTTCATGTCACAGTCTCACCTAATGGTAGGTATAGGCGGGCTAAAACTATTGGTTTTTCTTATTTTTATTTACATGTTCTATAAAAATATGGTTATGGTGATGTATGGGATTTGTTTTGGGGCGTCCATTGATGCATTTGAATAGGGGATGAGTGAGGCAATCAATATGGCCCGCTCATTCAACGGGCCTCAAGCCCAACGCCTAGACCGTAACCGTGAAAAGAGCTCATCAACTGAACTTTATTAAGTATTCCTCCGGCTTTAATCTACTAATTTTCTAAAACTTGTTACGAAAGTGTAATTGAGTCCTATAACTTTCAAAAGATAAATCAAGTTGTAAAACTTGTTAAATTGATACAATTAAAAACTTTCGTTAACTCCGTTCGATTTGACTAACGAAAAATTCTGATGTATTTTTCTTATTATTTTTTATCTTCTACGTGGGGATAAATTAACTAAAGTATGAAAAATAAGATTATCATAATTTTTTACTCCAAATATTAATTAAATTAATATTATAAAAAAAATAAAAAACACAATTGCAGCCCCTCACCGGTGGGCGCCACCACCCCACAATCACCGGAGAGGGCCAGTGGGGGTTGCCAAGGCCTTGGCGACGGTTGGAAATAACACCTGCATCAAGAAGATGGATCGCGACTCTCTTGCTTGCAAAGAAGTGCTCAATTGGGATGATGAAGTGGTCGCGATGGCGTGATCCAAGGCTTTTAGTGGCCAGAGATCGGATCGGGGAATCCAAGTGCCATTTCTGGCAGGACATGATTCTCAGGGTCGCTCGTCACTTCGGCCTCCTCATCATCGAACCTTCTCAGGTTCGTTCAATCGCGTCGTTTGAGGTTTTCTAGCCTGAGGGAAAATCTCATTTTGCCATGCTTCCTCTGTTGGGGTTTTTGGGATTGCTTGACTGGAATTAATGTCTTTTTTTTTGTCAATCGATTATTATATGGTTTGAGATGATTTCCTTCGAGATGAGAAAAATGGATGAAACATACTAAAGGCGTCGTAACAACGGCTATATACATCGTAACAAGTTCTAAACCCTAGTACCTTGTTCTGTAACTCGGTTTTACTGGGTCCTCAGTTTATGACCCGTTGCAAGTGCAATAAGTCGAAAATCAGTAAGTTATGATGGAAATCGCCTTGATTATGATGCATTGCCTCTAAGCTTATGACCGATCGCAAGCGAGATACTTCAAAAACGATAAAGTAGCAATGGAAATGCCCCTTGGCCATGCGCATTTGCTTCCAGCTTATGATCTATTTTGAGCGCTGTACTCTGAAAATCAGTGAGTGACAACCGAAAAAAGGCCTTCTTCAAGATCTATTTGCACTAAGTTAACGACTTTTTACAATGCACCTATCCATGGTCTTTGGTTCTGGGGACATGCGGAAGTGTCATTTCAAATTTTGACAATTATAACAAGTCGTAAATTCAATTATGTATATTCATAATACTAGAATAAATGTGTCATAACAACAGATTATTTACGTTGTAACAAGTTGTCAACCCTAGTAGCTTGTCCATCCGTTCCTGAAGCTCCAGACGTTCGTCCTGCACTTTGGCGACGATCGTAGAAGTTCCAGTTTCGCCTAAAACCAATGTCGCAGGGGTGAGGCCGAGCGTCCCTATTTTATTTTTCTTCGTCGTCCTCCTTTCCTCATCTTCTGCCAGTGAAAGACTTCACGGTAGCGCTTTGTCCTAGCGCACCTGTACCCGCTAACACTCGTACATACAACGACACCCCTCGGAATCGTCAAATCTGCCTTGGACAGCCCCGCAGTATACTGCTCTGTGATGCTCCGTGTTCGTGATTGATATTGTCGTTTGCTTATTTGTCGCTAAACCTGAACTGGAGTTGGACTGGAATCAGCTCGGCGGAGTTTCAATTTGATGGACTCTGTACCCTTGGCCACGACCACATTTACCAGGTCGTATCTTCCCCAATTAATCTCTAAATGTGATCCCGATTCATTCTAGATTTGCTCTGTTTTGCCGCAAACGAGATTGACCGTTTCTTCGGTCCTGCAGTAGGGTGTTTTCTTGTTCAATCCCATACCTAATATGAACATTTAGCAAAAGCCATAAGCTTGTCTATTTCAAAAATTTCTATTTCACAATAGAGAACTCATGCTTTTGGATTTCCCACCATGAAACTTCATTGATAACCTTTGGGTTACTGAAAATTTCAGCAACCCTGGCACGTTTGTTCGCTGGGATCAGCTCGCCAGCTGATGTGTATAAATTGCAAATAACCTACAGACGAACAATAATTCTTCGTAAACTAATTGAAACGTTCTTTCTCGTTTGATCAACCTGTTCAGATGATCTGATGGATGAACAATTTTTGACAACATAATACTTATTTCGTGGATGATTACCATGATATTGTTGCTGCCTCAGAAAGGATCCTTGAAAATTGCTCGAGGGTTGTTAAAAAATCAAGAACTTGATGGAATGATGTGAAGGTAAATATAGTAAGAGAGTTTTTGGTTTATGTCATCTTACGATTAGATCACTTCACTATCCTCCCCTGGAGCTTGACCAGTACTTGATCCATACTCAATAGCTCTAGGGATCATCTGATTATTCATGAATCAATATATTAGTAGCATGTAGCATGTAAAAAGAAGAACCCTACATATTTTATTGTTGCTATTCATACCCTTGATGTGCTGTGCAAATCTATGCCAGAAACTCCGATCCTGACTCATAGTTAGACTAACGTCAAAATGTGAAATAAGTTCGCTAATGCAAAAATTGAAAGAAAAAAAGAAAAGGTGTCAGCAGTTGAATGTGAATATAACATATGACATACTTATTCTGATGGCATATCGAAGAAAAATGCGAACTTATAATCTCAGTACAGAATAGTTCTAGTATTTGTCATCTTTTTGTGGATCACACTAAATGGTTTTAGGCATTAAAACATACCAAATGTATTCTACAATCATCGTATGGGTGTAGGGCGTGGCATCCGAGTTGAGAAGACTCTCAAGCCTGTAATTGTATTGTTCTTGGACTTCAAAGCATACACCTTGAACTTAGAAAAGCTCTTGGTGTTTACACTCTTCTTCTGTTTTAGTGAGAGAGAAATCCATGCGTTTGCTGCCATGGGACTGGCCATCAATGAGTTCTTTGTGATCCTTGTTTGGCATTATGTCGTTGGTGCCAAAATCTGCGCCATTTCTGCCTAGTCTGAAAAATAAAGTAGTGTGAGTAATAGACATATCTACGTAAACAAAAAACCTAGGAGCTTAGTCTCATGGAAGATGATTCAAACAACGAGCTCTATTTGTATGACTTGGCCTTCTGGTATGCATGAGAGTTTAGTTTTGAAATGATAAAAAGAATAGACTGGGTACTTCAAAGAAAGGGTCTCTTTTGCAAGTGCGTACGCCGACAATTTCAAGTAGGAAAACTTACATGTTGAAGCATAAATAGTGAGTCTTATTGATTTCCCTAAGGATGATACCACATTCTCCTTGAAAAATTAGCTAAAAATAGTGGCATAACTATACTTCTCCTTTTGGAATCATTTCAAGGTTATTCTCAGGCCTCATTCCCAAAAGTGAGCTCATGAACAAGTAAAAAACTGAGGGCAGTTACATAGTTGAAGTAAGCAGACTGCAGAGTGCAACAGTTTAAGAGATTAATGAAATTCCACCTTACCAAGGATCAATCAGCAAACATGTTATTATGATATTTCATTAGATATAATGGACGATCAACTCATGAATCTTGACAGTGCACCTAATCCTTTCCTCTCGCAATCAAAAGGCAATCACAATGAAGTAGTTTCTTCTTTCACAAACTTGGCATAATTGCAAATTACCCTTACCAACCACTCCAGCGAAAATATCCATCATATATCACCATGGCAGAGCAAGACTACCGAACATAGCAATTATCACTATGAGGACTTGAAGTCACAGAACAAGAAAAATCTGAGACAAGAGTGGATACAAGAGAAATCGATTCCACATGAGGTCCACAACATAGACTTAAAATTGGTAGTGATTGATTTATTCATGAAAAGAAACGACAACAATGACTACTGCTTCCTTCATTCATTCTGCCTCACACACCACACATTTCTTTTGCAGACATTGTTGTCACAAAGAGATGAAGTCCACGTCAATTGTCAACCAAACAAACTGAACAGGACAACCTTGCAGTGATCAAAATGAAGAAGTCATAGATTAGACTCCCACTCTAACTGTGATAAGACCTCTTTTAATGTCAAATATTTACTCAATTGCTTAAGATGTCGCTAAAAATTGGTAAAGGATTTACCTGAGAACCTTTGCAGAATGGCTGAGAAGCAAATCAAGAATGTCAAATGTTGTCAAATGCTAACTATAAGATCACTTCTCTATCCTCCCCTGGAGCTTGACTGGTACTTGATCCATAGTAATTCCACTTTGGAAGTTCAAACGGGTGCTCAGCAGGTCTAGGGATCGCCTAATTTCAGGAATTAATAGATCAGTAGCATGTTGCGTGTAAAAAGGAAAAACACGACATATTTTATTATCGCCAATCATACCCTTGAGTTGCTGCGCAGATCTATGTTAGAACCTCTGTTCAAGGGAAGCAAACCAAAAGCCGTTCAACAGAGAAACATTTCATCACTTCATCTATGAGAGTTTTCCAGAACTGTGCATGCATTTTGCTCCTTGTGAAATCAAATAAGGAGATTGCACACTATATCTACAGCATGAGTCATGAGGCAGATTTAACAATCTCGGAGTTGGATGAAGAAAAGTACGAATTTTCTTCATTTTTCTTGCATGTTCGAGATTAAAGCAATGTCCAAACCTATCAGCGATCTGTCGATGTCCCCCAATCGAATCATGTAGCGTTGATAGATAACTTTATCAACTCTGTCTGCAGGATATGAGATATCTTGTCACAGTCATCGCCTGCATCTTTGTGGCACCTCCCCTCCAAGTTTGGGCAACCTGCGATTCTTCGGTGAGTACATAATAGTTCTAGTATTGTTCATCTTTTTGTGCACCACACTCAAAGGTTTTAGGCATGAAAACATACCAAATGTATTATGCAATTATTGTATCGGTGTAGGCGTGACGTCCAAGTTGAGAAGACTCTCGAGCATGTACTAGTATTGTTGTTGGACTTCAAAGCATACACCCTGAACTAAGAAAAGCTCTTGGTTTTTCCACTCTTCTTCTGTTTTAGCAAGAGAGAAATCCATGTGTTTCCTGTCATGAGACTGGCGGTCAGTGAGTTCTTTGTGATCCTTATCTGGCATTACGTTGTCGGTGCAAAAATCTGTGCCATTTCTGCCTAGTCTGAAAAATAAGCCAATGTGAGTGACAGACATATCTACTGAAGCAAAAAAACCTGGGAGCTTAATCTCATGGAAGATAGTTCCAATGACGAGCTCTATTTGTATGACCTGGCCTTCTGGCATGCACGAGAGTTTAGTTTTGAAAAGATAAAAGAATGGATTGGAATACTTCAAAGAAAGGGTCTCTTTAGCAAGTGCTAACACCTTTACCCTAAGCTTAATCTCATGAAACCGCATTTTGAAGACTAGTTTCAAGTGGGAAAAAATTGCATTTTTGAAGCATAAATAGCGAGGTCAATTGACATGAACAATTTTACACACACCGGTTTCGATAGAGGTATAAGCTTAGAGATCGGGCGGCGTAGTGTTAGCCCACTTGAATTTGATTCTAGCCCAAAAATAGAGGGATAGACTGAGATGACAAAGTACCGCTCGTGAAATACAGAGCATGATGATCCAAACCAAAATGCTATTGAAATAGCAGCCACCGACCACACATCATAATAGTTTTTGAGCTGCGAGTCTAGTTTGAGGAGCCAAATCAGCAAACTCAGCTCATCTTCACCAGATCAAGCAATGAACCCAATCAAAAGATACAAAAACAAATTCATATGACGCCGAACAGAAGTAGTGAACTACGATCAGGAGCAAGGACAAAGCAAGAAATTCTCTAGAGGCACCAGCAATCCAAAATCAAAAAACTGTAAAAAGCATTAACGATGATGCTGAACTCAGTGGCATTGTATTCGAAAATTGTTCATGTAAAATCTGGAAAACAAGGTGCCCCCACATACCTTCAGTAAAGAAAATTAGGGCTCGATCTAACATCATCCAATATAGATGTCGGGGATATGAGCGATCTTGTACCAGTCCTCGCCTGCATCTCTTTTGCACCTCTTCTTCAATTCTGGGCAACCGTAGATTCTCAGGTGAGTAAGGGATGCAAGCTTTCGCATTCCTTCGGGTAATGACGTCAATGAGGGGCTATCGTGGATGTCAAGCCGTTGAAGTGATTGAAGGGCCTCGATCTGCTCTGGTAATTCCTTCAAATTGAAGCAACGGGAAATTTCGAGATGCTCGAGATTGCTGGCCTGTAGAAGCCACTGTGGGAGAGATGCTAGTTTGGGAAGGTCGTCGATCCACAGGGACCGAAGACTCTGATGGAGTCCTCCATGGAAATCCAAGATGACGTTGTTGCTGCTGCTTTCGTCTTTGCATAAATCCAGCTCCTTACAATCCTGAATATTGAGACGCTCGAGATTGCTGAGCTGGAGAAGCCATTGTGGGAGAGATGCTAGTTTTGGAAGTTCACCGAGACTCACGGAGCGGAGACTATGAAGTTCCAAGATGAGGTTGTTGTTTCTGTTGCTTTCGTCGTAATTGGATAAATCCAGCTCCTCAGAATCCGAAGAATCGAGATCCACCAGGTTGGATTGATGTCGCGTACCCAGTGGTGGTGCTGTTGAGAGGGAAGTTAACCGAGTACAACCCCAGATTTGAAGAGATTCGAGTGAGGTGAGGCTTTTCCAACACTCCTCCGGTACACATTCTAGAGACTCCATCATCCGGATATTCAGACTCTTCAGCTTATTAAGGCCAACTATCATATTTATCAACGCTGGGTTGGCATTACTCAGGATTAACTCCTCAAGATGTGGAGCTGGTGCCATGGCTTTCAATTTCATACAGCTAATGATCTTTAATTTCAATAGACTAGGAAATGATGCTATTGAAGTGGATGAATGGCCTAACCCGATATCTTCCAATTCAGGCAGCTCCCAAATAGATAAAGACTTGAGGCGTGGTAGTTGGCCCAGTGGAGGGAGATGTTTACATCTTCTGCAACTGGAAAAGCCTACCTCGACTAAATTGGGCAAAGAAGACACGAGGCTATCCATCATCCACCTTGGAAAGCTTTCACCTTTGTATCCTCTGATCATCAATTCCTGCAGATTTGAGTGCGGCCATAGTCCACCCAATAGAGCTTCATCACTATCCATAATTACTACATCATCAGTATCGAAATCGCCCCATTCAAGTATCAAAGATTCCAGAGAATGCTTTCCTCTCAAGTTCGCAGCCCTGGATTCTGCTACTGCATCTGTCACGCTTCCCAAATTCTCAATGCAAAGGCTTCCCCGGATGTTATTAAGCTCTTTTAGCTCCCCAAGTCCACAACAATCCTTAGCAAGAGCTTTATCTTTGGGCAAAATGAAGCGTGTTAGCCTATGCAAAGAACTCAATTGCCCTAGTCCGCGTGGCACATAACGAAGTTTATAACAACCATCTATATCTAGATTTCGAAGGCTAACTAACTTCCTTATGCCCCTTGGCAATTCATCAAGGGCAGAACAATAATAGAGATTAAGCGTTTGCAAATTTTACAATCTCGTAATGGAGTTAGGAAGCCTTTTGAGTGCTTCATTAAGAGAAAGATCGAGATACGTGAGATGCTTCAACTTACAAATGGACTTTGACACCTTCTCGACATATGTGGTATGTAGATCTAAGACGCGCAACCTCTTGAAACTCTGAATGAGTTGGCGTAGATTTGCTTCACTCATTGGTTCCATTTCTCGATCACTAGCAGCACCCAAAAATGTTCTCAGTGCACTTGCTTGTATGCGTGAGATCGGAAGTTCACCCATCAAATTGAAAGTTGAACCATATGATATGTGACGAGTTCTTTTGGGTATGGATTTTCTATCATCCCATGCCACCCAACACTCGATCCCTGCAACTAAGCAGGCTAGATCATGCATCAAATCATGCATCTTACAAGTCTTCTCGTTCGTGTCTGGATCTTTCTCAAAATCTTGGAAGAAGTTACTCCAAAGTAGATCCATGAAATATCCATGAGCAATGTCTTCTAAATGCTGACTTCTATTTGATTGCTGGATAAATCCTTCTGCCATCCAAAGATCGACCAAAGTCTGCTTCTTTATCTTATAATCTTTGGGAAACAATGAACAAAACGCGAAACATTGTTTCAAATGTGAAGGAAGATGGTCGTAACTTAGCCTAAGAATAGATTTTATGCCTTCTTCCCTTTGAGACACATCTGGGAGCTCATAATCTTTGAAATGCGACCATTCGGGTTTAGTTTTCTTAAAGAATAGTATACTCCCAACAGTTCGAACAACCAATGGAACCCCATAGCACTTTCTAACTATATCTTTGCCGATAGCTAGCATTTCAGGATCTTGTATCTTCTCTTCTTTTCGACAAGCCATTTGCATTAGTAAATCAAGAGATGCACTGTCAGATAAGTCCCTGAGATAATGAGGTGGAGCAGTCCTGGTGATCTCCGCAACCAAAGGAAGGCGTGTGGTTATGAGGATCTTGCTTCCTCCAGCACCTCCCATCAATAAAGTTTTCAACTTTAGCCATGTTTCTCGTTCTGTAATCCACACATCATCTAAAACTAAGAGATATCTTTTTCCATCAATTACTGTTCTTAGTTCACTTTGCAATTGTTCAATTGCAACTTCAGTTAGTTCTTTGTTCTTTGCACGAGCTATGATATTTTTCACTATTTTGTTCATGTCAAAGTCATTGGAGACACAAACCCACAATTTCAAGTGAAAATGTTTACTAACCATCTCATCATTATAGACACATTGAGCAAGTGCCGTTTTTCCAAGCCCACCAATTCCAACTATTGGAAGGATGGAAACGTTCTCTTTCACATTTGAATCCAATAAAAATTTTATAACCGTCCTTTTGTCATCATCTCTGCCTTTAATATCTCCTTCACGTATAAACGAATGCGTCTCTTCTCTCTTCCTCCAATCTCTCTTGGGGCGTTCGTCCAAGTGGAATTTCTTATAAGCCTTAATGGCTTCTATTCTCTCCCTCACTGCTCTTAGTTTGTAACTCATCTTCACTTTAAAAGCAAGCTGGTTTGAACTTGAGAAAAATGTTCTTACCTCCTTCAACATTTCATTGTGGCCCCTCAATTCTCGTCGCATAGCTTCTATATTGAATTCTTCAAGCACATCCTGTGCATCATAGAAAGCTTCTTTCAGTTTGTCAACCCAAACTTGGATTTGTGGACTTTGGTGGTATTGCTCTTCTGCATGGTCCAGTACAACTTGAAGAGTGGAGATGGTGTCTCCGAGCGCCTTGAGTTCATGCTTGACGCCCCATAACATTCCAACCTTTTCTATCGCTTCAGGAACTAGATTAGCAACGATCTTTCCAGCAATACCAACGATGACAGCTTCCGCCATTTTTGTTCTCTCTGTCTCTCTGTGGATAGGAAGATATTAGTCTAGTCGGTCCAAGGCTAGAGACTTCTCACGACATGTATAACAAGTTAAGGTTGATGCTCACCTGAGACTGGTAAATCGAAAGCCTGACAAATCTAATTATCAACTTCTATGACCGACTTTACCTGTTATAGATAGGAATTCTAATCATCCACGCAAGTCTAAATAAAACATGAGGACCCACTGAGGTCGCATCCGATGCTCGCAAGAATACTTCTATTTTTTCAAAGGCTTCATTCTTTACCTTTTTGTCAAAAAGATGACCTATCATTCTTTATACTCTTGGATGGATTTAATGGATGACAAAGTTGGTAACAAAGTTTACGATATAAACCTAGGAAATATTAGTTTACTTTGATTCAGATAGTCTAAGATGTGAGCTACGATTAACTAGTTATTGATATATATAAGTGTGTCTGTAATTATAATAGGGATTCTTTATGTGAAAATAGAAAGTTCTATGCTTAGGTAACATAATGGATTTGTTTACATTCTGATGCCAACACTTCACCTCTTAATTCAAAACTCTCCTTCGTATTGTCACGTGACTTTGTTGCTATTATTTTACTAAAACAATATAGTTGATCAAGGAAGTTCACTCTCCTTGCTAATCTCTCGAAATTATTTGCTTCCCATGAATGAATGCTTCTACATTTTTTTGTGTTCCTTTATTGTTTCCTATTCTCGAAATAAATAAATAAAAACTGCCTTAAAGATTTCTTCCCATACTAGGCAATTCCGAAACTTGCACATTTATGCAATGTAAAATCCTATATTTAGTTCGACCAAAAAAAATTCCTATATTTAGGTCTCGAGAAAAGAAAATCCTATATTTAGATTTTAAAAATATTCCCATGCACGGGCAATATGACGGACATACCGATCGCTTTTTCTAGCATATACAATATGTATAAAATCTCTTACTTTTTCAGTTTCCTATTATAATCATGGGATAAGTGCATTCAAAGTCCTAAAACTTGTCACGAAAGTGCAATTGAGTCCTAAAACTTTCAAAAAGTGCAAACAAGTCCTAAAACTTGTCACAAAAGTGCACTTGAGTCCTAAAGCTTTAAAAAAGTGTAAACAAGTCCTAAAACTTGTCACGAAAGTGCAAACAAGTCCTAAAACTTGTCAAATTAATTAATCAAGTCCTTCCATTGATTGTACTTTTTGAAAGTTTTAGGACTTGTTTGCACTTTCGTAACAAGTTTTAGGACTTATTTGCATTTTTTTGAAAGTTTTAGGACTCAATTGCACTTTCGTGACAAGTTTTAGGACTTGTTTGCACTTTTTGAAAGTTTTAGGACTCAATTGCACTTTTGTGACAAGTTTTAAGACTTCTAGTGCACATATCCCTATAATCATATTGATTAGCTTGGAATTCTTCACTCAATTCCAATTTATAGTTTTTCTTTAACAATTACTATGAGACAAGTCATCTCTCTTGTCTTTTAAGTCTGGCTCTTATTTCCATCCCCTATCACATTCTTCTTCTTATTGAGCTCTGTTCAATATACACAATAAAATCTTTGCTGAATTTAGTGTTTAATCATACGATTACCTTGCCACTATCTTTTAATCTAAAGTTATTTTTGCCTTTTCTATTAATGACTTGTGGACAGGCTGTTCTTATTTCCTTTATCTAGATTCAAATTCAAAACATTTCAACAACGTTTATTATTCTTTTTACATATAAAAAATGCAACAACTATTTATTTTAATATGCTTATAATCGTTTGTTTTTCATACGAAGTATGACTAGTCTTCTTCTGCATAATTTATTATGCATGTCATGTATCTACTTTTGTTAAATTGCAACACGCTCATCCTCCCATCAGTAATAGGAACGGTCTTAATCATTATTTGTTAATGAAATTTTCTCTACAATCCCTTTTGCATACTTCAATGAATTCTCGTGTAGGGTTTGTTTCATATTTCATAAATATATTATTCCTTTATACAATTTCCTAAATTTACTAACAAATATCATTATCAGGGACTCGTTACAGGTTATTTCCCACGAGCATTGCATCCGAAACGAGACTAAATTAAAAAACTATATAACAAAAATATGCCTTTAGTTGTTTTGCTGATGCTTGCGAAAGTGTAGAGCTTGAAATCCACCACAGGAGGTGGACCAACTTGAGTTGTTGAAGATAGGAATTCTTATCCTTTTCGCACATTACAAGATGAGGCCTAAATCAATATGCATATAAGACCCACCGTGGTCGGGTCCAAGGTCCGTGATTGGTTTGTCTAAGATTTTACGTTCTTCGAGTGTTTACTCGTCTACCATGCTTGCAAAGGCAATGAAAATGCTGGTGAAAACAAATCAGTGATCCTATAGTTCTGTTTTTTTGGTCGGAAGTGATCCTGTAGTTCTTTTTTTTTGGTTGGAAATGATCCTGTAGTTCATAAAACAATAAACCGATGCACGCATGGTGAAAATAACCGAGAGCGAAATTACCAGGAGTATGGGTGATACCGAAGGACCGAATTTGACAGCAGCAAGCCTGAATGAAATGCAAGCAACAAGAGAAGAAGCAGTGAAGAAACGGTTCTTGAGTGCTGCCTACATTTATCCTCGTCGCACATCATATAGAGAAAGAAAAGAGGAACATTCCTTTCTTATGTCGACACAACAAGGAAACCTGGGAATTAATCCCTTTCTTTGCCTCCTAAGTTACCGTCAACACAAGAAAGGGATTTCTTTGCACTGCATTCTTGCAAAAGGGGTCCCGTCTGATTACTTTCTTTTGTTCGACGGAAAGGTTCTTCCACACCCAATAATCATATTTTAGCAGGAACAATTTGATCTTCCATGGAATCTTGCAACAGTTAAGTTCGTTTTAAAAGGGTTGAAAAAGCTATATCTTTCATTTAACCAAAAAAAAAAAAAGCTATATCTTTCATGTTGGATGGTCTCCCCAAATCCTTTTTTCTTTAACGACCTTGGAAATAATATCTAATCGAAGTTTTTTCCTTTTGCTTTTCTATATTATAAACATAGATATACTGATTTTAATAATTAGGTACTCTTTAAAGTATTTTTTTTTCTTACACTTCGGTTGAGTATTACCTATATATTCTTTTTCCGTATTTTGTCAATGCATTTCCTGAATTCATGAAATTAGATATTGCCTTTCTTTTTCATTTGGTTAGGTATTCTTATGTGCTAGTCTCAATGCCCATTGGCAGGCAAAGGCTATACCTTACTGTTCATGATGTTATTAAAATTTTTGCTGAACATTGCGTGACAATATATTTAACAAATAATATGACTGTAATTTCGAACATAATTTTTAATAAGCATCTCAATTATCAATTTGTTTTAGGTAATGTGGCTAGAGATTCTAGTCATCAAGATTTTTTTTGTTAACTATTGGAGTCTTGCTTATCTTTATGGAGATGATTGTGTAAAAATTTTAGTACACTCGGGGTTGTCAGCCTCATGAATTTTTAATATCATGGTTCATGTTGGTAAATGCACTTTTTTTTAACTTCAATATTAATTGCGTAATTGCAATGTTATGCCAGGATTTACTTTGATTTTAGTTGATTATACGACTCTCTAATTAAATTTACATTTGCATTAACTATCTAGATTTAAGATTAGTGAAACTTTTCGGTGTACTTGTAGATTTTACTTGAATTATTCTCTTTTTGGTAATAATCGTACATTATCAAATTGTATAGTTGATCATCCTTATGATTCAATGGTATCTTTAGCATTACCATAGAGGTTTCATTCATGGTCTTATCTTTGGAATCATAAAGGCTACGTAGAATATTAGAAACTTCTATTTGTGATGGCTTATGAATACACAATTAATTGCATATTTTTATTCAAATAGTCAGACAACTAAATTTCAAAGTTGAAAATTAGATTTTAATCTAATCGCTCTTGATCTTGTGGGTCCTTTGCCGGAATAAATTTGTAGGTTTCTATAGTTAAAAAAATTGCTTATTTGTGCTTTCCTTTGAGTTTTTTACACATTTCTTTGTCTAAATTGCAAAATGGAGGTTGAAACTCTAGTTACACCTTCTTCACTTTCAAATTCACATCTCATCATTTCACATGAAACTTTTAAGCATTTCTTAAAGTTTTGGTCCAATTGCTATGAGATATAAATGTATGATCGATATTAATTACTTTCTTCATGGTAGAAGTAGAAAGGAAAAATATTGCCCTTTTCTTTTTCTTTTTGTGTTTATCTTTCGTTAATATTGAGATATGATCTAAAGATAAGCATAAAAACCATTTGACCATGCTTCTAGCAAAATAATCTTTTCCATCTTTTGATCTGAGTTTTTTTTTTCCATTTTGGATGAAAAAAACAAGTTTGCTTCTTACCATAAAAAGAAGAAACAAAAGGGGAACCATACAGTAATAGATTTAAATAGAAATATGATTGCTCGTAAATTTGGAATGAGAGAAAAACAGTCTCGTCTATAAATATCTAACGAGAAAACCAAAATACGCATAGAATTATGCATAAGAATACATGACAATTTATTGATTTGGGGTTTTTTTCTACCAATTACTTCAAGACACATTACCTAGCCAACATTTAGATCCGACTCTACCCAACTTTTTCTAGTTCACCTAAACATACCCCCCTTGTCCGACTGTCAGTTTTTGGATATGAAGCGGATCTCCAAAAGGTCATTTTAATGTGCCCATTTCCCCTCTTTTGCAATAAGTTTTGCTACAGCACCCATTGCTTGCGTAAAGCTTGCTCGTGAGCGTCCACATGATTTAACCTCGCACAAGATTTAACCACAAGTGATTAAGATGCCCTTGCGTTGCACGGGTCTAAAATTATGTTTTTAAATAATTTCAGACGTTGATTGTTAATCTATTTTCTATTTATTGGTACTTCGAGTTATTTATATTTCTTAACTTTGTGAAGTTTAATTTGGTATCATGATTATCACTAAAACTTCTCCACTTATTTTAAGTGCTTGAATGTCTTTATCTGCATTATCTACACAGCATAGATAATCCTGATAAAGATGCTTAAATTTTTCTTCACTGCT